TTATGTAGTACAAAGTTGACCCTTTCCAACAACTGTAGATACATTTTCTAAGTTTTCACATGTTTTTTTTTTCTCATTTTCTCATTTTTTCTTTCTTTTTCTCTTTATATTAATAATGAAACTTCTTAATACTTTTATTTGTTTTTGTTTACTAGTGATTTTTTTTTATTTAGACATAGATTATTTAGTTAATACTGCATATAAACTTGTATTTCAGCAAGATAAAGAATCAATTTTGATTTATATAAGAAATCTCATCGATAAAATTTTTTGAACTTTAAACATATAAATTCAAATTTAAACGTAAAAAATATTAAACATACAAATTCAAATTCAATAACAATAAATGTTAAACCTCATCTGTAACGCCTTATATTTCTTTCCTCAATATATGATAAATTTTCATAAAAATTAATATGGTAAAGTAAATTTTCCTTCAAAAACTTTCTAATAAAAAAAAGAGACATTGAAATGGTATAAGGTTCATAGAGTAAAATTTCATTAATTTATAAGTACTTTACAAAAACAAAGATTCTAAAGTTTTCATCAGCAACAAAGAGAAAGAGTAGTTTTACAATTATTTCAAAAGAATGCTATAGAACTAAAATTATCCATTACATAACTCAAAATAACTAAGTCCTATAACAATTCTCATCCATCCATGCACTGTGAGCCTGGTACTATTCGTCCTGATTTCCTGAAAAATATTGTGTAAAGGTGAGTCCCTACCCTACCACTCATACATTACACATATTTATCCCAAAACACATCTTATCATGATTAAAGAAAACATCATGGCATTACATATCACAATGTCATATAAAGCATATTCTCATCTCAACACATATTATATTCTACAGATTCACAATTTCTTTACTTTTATCCGCGCTTACCGCGCCCTGTGGCCACAGTTATTCGATGCCTCTATTCTGAGGTCTTACACATCCATGTAAATAGTCGTCGGATGGCCCAATGCAATACGGATACAACACATGCAATAGACAGCCCCTTAGTAAAGGTAATGGTCAGGAGTCAAGTCGAGAAATCAGTGTGTGGCCATGTGGTGCATTCGAACAAAATATTCCGTGCACAATCCTGAATGTCACTCACCACCCTACATTTCCCCAAGATATCCCATATCGTCTCCATCTTCCACTCCTCAGTGTATCTCTGTAACTATTTACATCATATCCTTTTTCCATCTCATACTCTTTCAAGTATATTTACATGTTCACATATGCCATTTTTCATGTTCACACATATTTTTCATCATGTTTCCACATACTTTTCATCAAATCATAGCATATTCACAATACATATCATTGTTACATGAAACACAATATATTCAAATATGAAACATCCATCTCTTTGTTTATTCCATATCACAATCATAAAATCATATCAATCATCCTCAATATACCTTATCATGCCCTATTTGAATACAATATCACATTTTCACCATGTATTCATCATAAAATCACATAAACAGCCAATTATTCTCACTTTTCACCGATTATTTCTCATAAAAAAAGGATTATTCCACATATAATCACATACATGACAAGATCCATGAGAATACAAGTAATAAACATAACAAAATGATAAAGTAGAGCCCCCTTACCTCAAAACAGAGCTTTTACAAAGATTTAACCGAAGATTTGAACTCTAAAACGGAGTTTTTTTTAAGAACATCATGAACATCTATAAGAAGAAGAAGAAGAAGAGAAACGAACGGTAAATCTAACTTCAAACTTAGAGAAACTTACTTGAAATCCTTTAGATCAGACGTAGAATTACAGATCTAAAGAAAAATCTAAGTTTAGGAGGTTTAATATGGGAGAAAATGGTGAGATATAGTCTTAGAACCTTTAAGAACCTTGGAAAGGAGTAAAAAATGAAAATTTTGTCTGAAACCCCATTTTTATAGAAATTTTTTGAAAGTTACTGTTTACCGCCAGAATTTACTGTTCATCGCCAGAAACATTGTTCGCGATCACTGTGTACACGGACTGTACGCGGATGTGACGTCAGCCATGATGTCACTGATGACGTCATCGTCACTGTACATACACGGTTTCACTGTTCATACGCAGTTTACTATTCATAAGCGGTTTTACTGTTCACTTTTTTTTAAAAAAAAATATAAATTCTATCCAAATCTAATTCCAATTTATACTTTAACCAACCTCATTTTATTTAAATCAAAGTATAGGATGTTACATCATCAATATTCACTTTGCATAACAATAAATATTACATCGTTATGAAATATTTTTTAAAATAATAAAAAACTACTATCTAATATCTTTTTTATTATAATATTTTTTTATGTAAGTAAATTTATATTAAAAATAAATTTTATTATAATAAAATTATAAAAATATAATAAATATATTTAATTTAATAATTATCACTTTACTTAAAGATATTAGCTAAATAATTAATATTAAAAATATTATTTTAAGTATTTTTAATTATTTTTAAATATTTACTATTATTTTAAAGATATCATTTAATTCTTTTAACGATTAGTTAATGAGACTTACTTAGTGAGTATATATATATATATATATATATATATATATATATATATATATATAAATTATTTTTATATTGTTAAAATGATGTATATTTTAAAATATTATTAATTAATTCTTAATTATAATAGTAAAAGTTAAGTTTAGGTATATTTACATTTTTATATTTAAATATTATTAATTTATTTAAAAAATATTTTTTCTAAAATATATTTAACAATGTGACAATAGACTCAATTTTAATGAGTAAATTTTTATTAAAAATAAATTTTATTATTATAAAAATATAATAAATATATTTTAATAAAATTTTATTATCTTTTATTCTTTAAACTTAAATTTAAAATTTGAAATTAATATTTTTTGTAATTTTATTTTATTATGATTTGTTTTTCTTGTTTTTATATTTTAATCTGTTTCTTTAGACAATGAATAGGAAAAAGATAATAATACAGATAAATGGTCGTCCGAACACGTGTTTTAATTGTGAAGATGCCGTGCAGCAATGTCCATCTCTCGACATTCATCCGACATATTCTAGAAAATTATTCTACTAAATAGTAACAATGTTCTAAAATTTTAATTAAGAAATAAAAATAAAAATTATTAATATATATTTAATAATTCTAACATAATTTATAATATTTTTTAAGAGTTATTTTAATTAATATTCTTGAAACACTACCCAACAAAATCTTTTCTGCTTGCAGGACAGAAGGTGAAACGTGTTATTAGCCGCTGAATCTGCTTCGCTCGCAAAGCGTACGGAGGGCGATGGGCCCCTGCGTGACAAAGCGGTTCCGGCCAAGCGATATCCATGGCATATTTAAGTTGGAATAGATTGGGAAGCATTTCTTATTTTTTATTTTTATATAATTAATATTTTAATAAAAATATTTTTTTAGAAAATTAAATTAATCAATTAATTCTTATAATTTTATTAATGTTCTTGTAGTTTAAAAGCTTTTAGTTAAATTCTTATTATTTTAAATTTTGATAATTAAATGGTTAATAATTAACATTCTTAAATCTCCGTTAATACTAATGACTTGATATTTTAAATTTATTCTTCATTTTTTAATTCTCTTTTTTATAATTATTTTAATAGATCAATTTTTTTTAATTTATAAATTTTATTATTGTTCAGTGATAAATTTAAAATTAAATTGTTAACCTATCTTTCAAACTATATGTGTGACTACACATTTAATGACTAAAGTATTCTTAATAGAAAACATCATGAACGAAATTGAATCACTTCTAAAATCGCAATACTTCTGAAAATTATATCTAAACAAACATAAAATTTAAAGTTTAACTTCTTTTATCATAAATTTATGATTACATTTTGATGATAATGAATTTTGAGACAAAAATCATGCATCAATTTAAAAATAGGTTTATTTAGCAAATGAGACTTTGTGAAGTTAATTACTATTGCATCAATATTACAAAATTTATCACTTTGTCAATGTAAAAATTATTTTCAATAATCCAAAGTTAATTTGGTTTCAAAGAATTATTGATAAATTAATCACAATAAGCACCAACCTATATTTTTCAAAATAATTTAATTTACATAAACTAAATAATAAGAAAAGAACAAACAATAAATCGTAAATTTATTTTAACTGTTTAATACGTACGCTTAACAGGAAGAAAAAAAAAGTTGAAAAGTATTTTATATATATTTTTGAAAAATGTAACGCGAGAAAATTTTAGAGAGTAAAGTTTTAAAAAATTAACTTAATGTCAATATATAGAGTGAGATATTTTTTTAAAAAATAGAGAAAAAGAATCAGAAAAAGAAATATAAAATAAATTATTATATGTTAATTTTTGTAGTGAATTTTTTTTGAAATATTAGAGTAAAAATAGAAAAGAAATATTTAAAATGTGTTAATTTTTAAAGAAAAAAAAAGTTAAAAAAAGATAAGAATGTCATTCGTGTCAGATAACAACTATTTATCTCAGACGCTTTAGTATATCTTCTACTAATATTTTACAATTTTTAAAATTTTTTGAACTTTTATATTAATAGAACGAGAATATTATAATAGTTATAGAAATGAAATTATTTTAATTTTAAAATAACTTATACTAAAATTAAAATTCCTCATTGCTTTTAATTTTTGTGTTTCTGTACTAATTTCTTTTTTCTTTTAGCATTACAGTCGTATCATAATTTTTTAGTTTGTTAATATTCCTGTCCCAATATAGTTGAGTATTACCCTCTTTTGTTGTATTAACCCTCCTTCTCCTTTTTTATCTTTTCCTTTTTTTTTTTTTGTTTAATGATAATTCCTCTTCAATCCTGGGCTTTACCTCCAACACTCTTCTTTTTCTTCTCTCCAAACACCAAACAAATACTGATCATGATTTCAGCTTATTCATGCCTAAGATTTCCCACAAATTCAATCTCTTTTGAGTTAAAAGAAAAGGTAATAACAGAGCTTACTCAATTTTAAAAGCGAGAAAGACACATGATTTATATTTATTTAATAACGCAACACAGCATATACATCTCTCTCGCTACGAGAAAGTACATAGTTTTCCACAGCTAGCTGCTTCCTTAAGCAACAACGTTTGAAGATTTCTTAAAAACAACGGCTAACGGGTATTCTTCCTTCAGAATCAACCTCTTGTCGGGGCCAAGTCCAACATGTTCACAAGTGTCGGCTTTTGCTTCACAGAAGAGAAGCTTATAGGCTTCGCGAAACTCACTTGTCTCAATTCTAAACCAACCAGTGAGGGAGTCTGCAGACTCAGCGATTTTAACAGCTGATCCTTCCGGCAGACCCTTGACAACAGTCCACTTTGATGGAATGGGGGCACAAACAGGTCCAGCAGTGAATTCAAACTCCACAGGCATGTTAGTTTTGATAAATGCAATCTTGAGAGGGCTTGAAATTCTTATTTGTTGTCCTGGAGACAACTCACTGCCCTCTACTACAACAGATAGAGGGCATGTTTCATCTCCAGTTTCGGCAGTTCCTATGCCCCCGCCTATTGCCCATATAGCCGGAAATATATGGTATGTGCCACCATTTTTAAGTGGTTCACCGTCCGTGTCGAACACAAAACCAGCAGTGGCCCAAGGTTGGTAGAAGAAGGCAGAAGAGAAAAGGAAGAGAGCAAATATGGTAGTGCCCTTCATTTCGTTGGTTACTTATCAGAAGACTCTGCGTTATTCAATGGTGAGGCTCGATGTGCAGAGTTTTAGAAAGAAGAGGTTGTATTTATAGACATCCATGGTCACTTGCAGCTAAATTTTTACATAATACAATTATTAACGTAACAAATTGTTGTAACAATTTTTTTATGTTCATTTTTTTCAGTTACTTTTCATCGTAAGCTCGCTTATCTTTTTTTTTTTTCCCTTATGGTAACAAATTATTGGAATATGAATGAAATGAAACAAAGTAAAATAGTCATAGTATTACAATTTCAATTATTTAAAATAAAATATAATGCAATAAGAATTAACAAAAATATTTCATTTCATTTTACTTATGAGTGCTATTTTAATATCAAGATCTGATATTAAATATTTAATAGACGGACTAAGTGATTAAATTTCTTACACAACTCTTTTTGGGTATATAATAGATTTTAGACATAGATTGATTCAAATTACTTCCACTAATAATAAGTAATAAATCATTAGCACTCATGAAAATAATTATTTATGTGATGATTATAGATACTAGTTCAAAAATTATAAATACAACATTTTAATAAAAATGTTACATGTTTGCATTAAAAATATTGTATGAGTTTTTACTTATATTCTTAAATTTTTTATCATTTTACTATTGAAGAAAGATATTTGCTTTTTTTTTTAGCGTAATTTTAAATATTATTTTTCAATTGATATCTTTAACAAATAAAAATATGTAGGTGAAATTAAATTGTATAACGACATTTACAGCTGGAAATGACACTTTCTATCTTTGTAGAATAGAAAAAAAATAAATTTGTGCCATGTGAATAGCGTGCTTCAGCTAATAATTGGAGCGGAATACACAGTGGGCCAAGTAACTAAATTTTGGGTCACGGGAGCTCAAGTAATAGCTCCCGTGAAAATGAAAATCGTGTTGAAGAACAGTGTGTCCTTTTCCACGCACACAAAGTTCATGATTCAAATTTTGCCTTCGAATCCTTCATGTTTGTTTAAAAACGCCGTGGTGCCACCCAATTTTTTAATCGGATAGAAAATTAATTACGTTTTGTAAAATTCTCTTTTATATTTAAAAGTTATATTTTAATTTTTATACAAGTATTTTATTACGTTTCGATATTTATAATTTATGTTTTGCTTCTTATTACAATAAATAAAATTAAATCATAACAAAATATTAGTATATGAAATAAACGTCAGTTGTTTTAAAGAACTAACACATAAGTTTTTTTAAGTACATAAATTAAAAAAAAAAGTATAAAAATTAATTCATAAATTTATAAAATATAGAAACTAAATATGTATTTTAATTTATTATAATTTTAAGGAATTTGTACAATTTAAACTTAAATATCTTAATTAAGTGTTTGTGCAACTTTTATAAGGAACAAATGTAACATTCCTAAAAAAAAAAATGAATAAAAGAATATTTCTTTTAACTCAAAAAAAAAAAATTGTTCAAAAAGAATAGATTAGATTTTCTCATCTATACTCTTGCTCAAGCAATCGCTTCGAGCAAAAATTCACGATAGATAGGTAGCTCTGTCGTATTTTCGTTCAATTAAAAATACTTTTGTTTGAGCAAAAATATCAACAAAAGAATAGTAATTTTTGTTTGATTTTTTTCGCTCAAGCGAAAATTCGCGAGTTTTGAAGAATATTTAAGAGATTTTCATTCTAAAACTTGTATTGTAAGTCAAGAAAACCTTTAAACTCACTTCTTTCTCTGTTCTCTCATTTCCTTTCTCAGAGAAATATCTCCCAAACCTCAAACTCCTTATGAATCTGAGTTTCTCTTTCCTCTTAATTCCAAGTAAATTTCTTGGAACTCAATCTTTAAATCTCATTTGTATATTACTCTATTTTCTCCTTTCTCAAATGTGGTCTACCTTGTAATATATAAGAAGAACTTGGTCTTTGGATGATCTCTTTGATAGAAGATGCCGAGTCACTCTCAAAACAACTAAGTTTCACTAAGGATTTTGCAGTATAGAGCTCAACCTAAGTCGATTCACAGAGACACATCTTCAATTACATTTAATTTTAGGTTCTTTAAAAATAATATGAGTAAATTTTGGGGGTTTGAAAACTGTGAATTTATTAAATTAAATTACGAACAAATTAAAATTGGGTAGAAACAAATTAAGAAATATCAATCCACAGAATACTAAATGTATGTAACTCTGATTATCATAGTATCTAAAGATTTTAATCTGAGTTTAAATGTTTACTCAATTCAATTATTAATTCAATCGAATAACCTAATTGAACTAGATCACGAATTAAATCAAATTATCATTTAACGTAACCTGAATTAATTATCAAATTAGAATATCAATCGAATCCTAATTCGAATTCTAACAACAAAAAAGTTAATCACGATCACAATACACAAATCTGAGGTTAGAGAAAAAGAGAATAAACTTGGAGTAATTTGGCCCAGAACTCAAATCAGAGTTACAACATTTGGATTCTGCAGATTGAACGGCAGGTTTAGCTTTTCATTGAAGCACTTAACCCATGCAAGAATGAGAAGAAAATGAGAGAAAGTAAAAACAAGGATTCTCATTTCGGCTAAATTTCAAAAGCTCAAAGTGTTTAATCTCCTCCCTAATTCAGAACCTTATTAGTCTATTTATAGGTTCTGATTAGGGTAAATTAAGTGGCCAAAATTCAAGCCTTAATAATGCCTAAAAGTCCAAATATAATTATTAAATAACAAGGTTTCAAATGCTATCCCATAACAATATTCAACAAATTTGTCTCAACTTCAAAAATCATAAAAAATTAAAAACAACTCTAAATTTAGCGATCCATATATGCATTTTAAAGGCCTAGATGTGTAGAATCCAATGAAACTAAAATTAGACAAAAAAGATATCTGTAGACAAAGTTATGGCCAAAAGAGTAGTCAGAGGTCAGAATAACCGAAAATACAAAATTAAAGCATTTATTTGTAATAAGCCCAATTTATTCAAATAACTAGAAAATGATAGAAACTCTAAAAATAAAGTATATGAAAAATGTTTATTAATTAAAATAAAACTATAAATATAAACCTAAAATATGTTACATCACTCTTCCGCAAAACCCTTTAGAAAATCATTTCATTGAGGTAAGATGAGTTCTATCGCATCCTTAAAATCTTGAATACCTATTGTTTATATGTATGACTATGTACTCTTATTTATTTCAAAAATATGTGATGAAAAAAGATTACTTTGAGGGGTTGAGACTATGGTTATTTTCTTAAATAGTGAATGAGTTAAGGTATACTTGATTCTTTTGATTGATATGAATATTGATAACATATATACGATTTGGGCTTAGTTCAGATGTGTCCGACCTCTGGCAAATTTGTTGATGAATTAATTATATATATATATATATATATATGTATATATATATATATGCATGAAACTTTGTTTGGAAGTTGAGATATGTTTGAGCTTACATTCTTCTATTTTTTTTCTCTCAAATATATATGAATCTCAGTGGAAGTAGTAGAACCACTTGTGACAAATAACAAAAGAACAAAAGCCTCAGAATGAATATCTATATTGGGTGCACATTGCTTAATGAGAATGAAAGCATCATAGACCTCACACTTATTTTTTGACTCATATTCTTGACCATACTTTTATTTAAAGGGGTCGGATCAGCACACGTTATATCTGTGTTATTGCGACTAACTAGCAACATCTATACATGAGGAAGACCTCAAGGGATCCTAGGGACAATGATTGATTGAGATATAAGGAGTCAAAGAATGATAAAAATGTTGAAAAAATACAATCACAGTATATGGAAAATATTATATGTTTATGAGTGATATGGTTGATATGCTTATTATTTGAGTTAGTTTGTATGTTATCTTGCATATGCGTGTTTTAAAATTATTAAGTTAATTTTATCTTGATTCAGTTGTGAGGAGAAAACGTCATTGTTACTAATATTTTCAGGGAACAAGGATGACAGACCCTCAAAGACCCATTAGGTTGTCAGAATTGCTAATTAGTAGTAGACATAATTATGTATTTAGGGAGTGGCAGCAGGTCTACCATTGTAAATTTTTTGTAAATAGTAATGATGGATTGGATAATGTATTTACTCTAGAAATGACAATATGATATAATATTCCCTTTGGTTACCCTATTAGCAGTAGGATCCACCAGACCACCACACTCTTTGTTTGTACATATACAGAGATTTGGTTCAGAGGCTAGATGCGGTAAATTATGTATATACTTTCCTAGATCATGATTACTATGGAAGACCAACTCAGTTTACCTTAGAACAAGTGACTGGTCTTGAGGTTGTGGCCAACATAGGAGATCTTGGAGAGGATAAAAACTTGACTTTGGAGGAGCTAACTAAGATAGAAGGCTGGTTCGATGAAGACTAGGGTCATAGTCTTAGTGTTTTGGTGTGACAGTGATCTGCACATTAGGACTTAGTATATTTTAATTTTGTAAATTAAGTCCTAATGTATTTTGGATCAATCTTTGTATATATGAACTTTTGTATCTAAATGATAATACATACACATATTTTACTATTATTTTGATGCAAATTTATTTTGCAAGTCATGTTTTATCTTTTATAGCTTTCTATATATTTTGTATTTTTGTGAATTAAATAATGACAAAAAATTTTTAAGTTTTGTCAAGTTTTTATATTATGAATACAAAGAAATTTAGTTTATTTTTCTCTTTTCGTATAACTTTTTTCTTAAATTTTATAAAAAAATTAAAGACGTTACACCAAACACTTATTAAGCCTATATTTTTTGTTTGATATATCAATTTTTATAATATCTTTGAAAACACTTTCTCATATAAGAAATGAAATGTTTATTATATTTTAATGTGAAATTACATTATTACTCAAAATTTTAGAAGATCAACTTTATGACATAAATAAATTCATAAAATTTTTATCATAATATTAGTAAGCAATTCTTGTTATATCAATTCAAAATCTTATTAGTTGATTTTTTTGCTATATTCTCTATTAATTAGATAAAAAAAATATTTAGACATATCTAATTTTTATTTGTCCTATTATATCGATTCAAACAATTAAATGTACTTAGATATTTGTCTTTATCATATATAAATTTTCTTAGTATTTTTTTTAGCTACAATTATTTTAATTGATTTATGTATTTACCAAATCAATAAATTTTATCAAATAAATATATATGAAATTTTAGATCACCCTTAAATTTTGTGTTCAAATCCTACATGTTTAAAAGTGTCTTGCTGCTACCAAATTTTTTAATCGAATAGGATATTAATTACATTTTAATATGCAAACTTTTTTTTTCTAGAAAAACATGAAACGGTATACAACGACTTGCTTCAACGAGGAGAAAATAATATTATTAAAAAAAAGTTTACCATGTTTAAAATAACTTTTCCTGAAATTAAAATTCTTCTTTTCTTTAATGTTTATGTTTCTGCATTAATTTTTACTTGTTTTCTTTTTTTTAGCATTATAACTATGTTGCGTGTTATAGTTTTAAAATTTTGTCACATCATTGTATTAATGTATCTTCCCATAACTTTTTAAAAACTCTAAAGAATCATTAAAATTTGAGAATTAACTTTAGGGGAAGAGAGGAAATGAGAAAGAAAAATATTTTTTTGTCTGTTTTTTCATTTTCATATCAAAACCTTATATATATATATATATATATATATATATATATATATATATATATATATATGTTTGTAAGTATATTTTGTAGAAAGTTTTATGAGGTGTCAATGTATCACCCTCTTTTTCATTTAGTAAATAAATTGATGAATTGTTTGGTATTATATATTGTTAGAGTGTATTGGAATGATTTTAGGATGTTTAGTGGAAGTCTAGTGCAAGGAATCTCACTCAGGTGAGACAGATCTCGCTCAAGCAAGCAAGACTAAACTCCCAGAACGACATGATTTTAGAGCAATCTCATTCAGGCAAGATGATTCTTGTTCAAGCAAGATAAGATAAATTCAGCACAACTATCACCTCACCCAGGCAAGCATGATCTCACTCAAGCGAGTAGTAATTTCACGTACGTGAGATGAATTGGTTAGGCAAGGACTCACAGAAAAATATCCAACTCTTTGGACGTTATCTTGCTCAGGTGAGTTTGACCTCGTTCAAGCGAGCGTATCAGGAAATGCTTGGTGAGACCACTGCCTGGTGTTCTCGCTTAGGCAGCTATACCTCGCTCAGGCGAGAATAGCGTCACTCAGGTGAGCTGTTTCTCGCTCAAGCGAGAGTGCACGAGATTGAGGGGTATTTAAGAGATTTCCAGTATAGAAATTTCATTTCATTCTAAACCTTACGCTCTCTTCTCGTTTTCTCTTAACTCTCACTTTCTTCTCTTAGATAAAACTCTCTCAAACTCCAATTACTCCTCAAATTTGACTTTGGATGTTAAATCTAAACGACTCCAAGTAAGTTTCTCTAGATTAAACTTTATTTTCTCTTATCATTTCTCATATTTTTCATTTCTCACAAATATCTCTTGGTACTCAGGAGAACTTCCATGGTTGAACTCTAATATTTGTCAATATTTCTCCACATACTCACCTTGAGATAAGAAGAGCTCTATTTTGTTGTTCTATTGAAGTATTTATTTTGAATTGGGGCATTATGACATAGGGATTTTGTGAAAATATGTGTTTGGAGTATAATATTTATGAATGATAGTTGAGAATATGCATATTTGGTTGTTTGGATTGAATGGTTGTGATATATTTACATGAAATATATAGTAAGTACTCTATGTGGAGTGTTATGG